ATATTGCGTTTTCTTGCATTTATTTATTTGTTAACATCAACACAAAGCAGAATAAATTTATGCTGAAGTAATAACATCATTTATTTAATGCTGTTATGAATACTAGTAACAAGGGATCATTCATCATCAAACAAGTTTAAACATTGCAGTTTTTTATACAGAATTTCATTGATTATCATTAAATGTGAATATCATTTTCAATCTTTAAAAAAGGTTTACAACAAAACAATTGCAAGAGGCCCATGTGTCTCATTCCCAACCTAAGCACCATGTAAGATTTTTCCTATGTTCTTAAATTGATGAACCACTTTGGCCCCAGAATAATCCCAGGGTCATGATGTAAACAAAAGTAAGTATACAGTACGTCCTAAGTATACTTCCACACAAGTTTCCGCTTTTTGGTTCTTTGGTAATAACTTCAGAAGAAGATATTGAAAAGATGCCATGTATTTTTAACTAATTCCTATAATTACATCCTCTTGGAGGAAGATGTGGCCTTTCAATTGAAAAACCTTGAATCTCCCTTTTCAAGGATACTTTTGCGACAACTTTGGTTTGTCAATTGATTCCTGAGAAGTCAAAAATGTGAAAAGTTTACAGACAGACAAATTGTGATAAGAAAAGCTAACTTAAATCTTTGGTAAAAGTTAGACAGAAAGGGCATGAGGCAAGAACTCTATCATTGAGGAATAATTTTCATAGACAATTTTGATGGAGAGCATTTTCACAATTTTTAAAATGATAATAATCGCCATAATGTCTCCCAAAAACATTTCCGAACAACCGTTTCTATGGCAACGGCCATAAAGGTACTATCATATAAATTTAAAATGTTTTTTTCAACTAAAATTTTCAACGAGTGTCTATATTCTCAGGTGTAATTTTCAACCAATTTCACTTAAAAATAAATAAAATATGAAGAAATTCCACGAACTTTTGGATCAACCATCGTATTTAGATTGTAACTCTGCTTCTCTCTTCGATTCAAGTACAGTGGACCCTCATTTATCCGGACGCATTGGTTCGCAGTCAATTTGTCCGGATATGTGAAGCATCCAGATATCTGAATCACCAGTTAAACAATACAGAATAACATTTTAAAATTTCGTTCCGATGAATAATCGTCCGGATACTGAAGCATCCGGATATCTGGCGTCCGGATATCTGAAGGTCCACTGTAATGGGTTGTTTCATTTAATCATTGAAGTTATTGATATGCCAATAATTGCTGCTTTTTTCAGTCAATACGATGATTTAGCAACTTTCAAAGTACAATATTCAAATCACCTTCGGGCTTGTTGAATATATTGTACTCCTCTTGTGGCTAAATCAATGTATTAATCTCAAAAATAGCAATATTTTTTTCAATGGTACACAGAAGAATCTACTGCTTCCACCGTGACACCTCAAGATATATCTAGTGATCCCATGGGAGTACTGACCATCTCTTTACTGTGTGTCTCCCATTTGGTAACCCAACAACAGATGTCCCTCGAAAAATCCAGGATAGTCAGAGTACATTATTAACTGCATTATAAATTTCTAAACAGTATATTGATTTTCGTGAATTCAATTTATTTATTTGTTACAGTTAACATCAACAAAGAAAAGTATTTGTGTTCTAGTAACAACCTTAATTTTAATGTGAATAATAAGAGATCATTCAACAGCAAAATAGTTTGAACAATTCAATTTTAAATGCAAAATTAAATTCATCACTCCTCATCATTACAGTGAGTATAAATAACATGAAACTAAAATAGAGCATAAGACTAGGTCCCTATCACAGAGGGAAGCTTAGTGTATTATTCAGTTTTTAATATTTACTGAAAAATTTGAGAGAAAGCAATTTTCATTTTTTAAAGTCAAACCACCAAGAAATTTGCTCTTATGTTCCTTGCTTTGAAAGGCATCAGAAGTATTAATAAGTTATTTTAAGTTAAGATCAGAAGAATTTTGGACCTCCTCCTAACCCACCCAATCCACTCCTTGATCCCCGTGAAATCCTGGATCCACCACTGCTTCTATCATAAAACCCTCCACCGGGTCCTGGAGGGAAATTCTGACCCGGACCAAACGGGTCAAACCGTGGTCTCATATCAGGCATGTGTCCACCACGACGTCCAAAAATAGGATTGGGGATACCTTGATTTTAAATAAATTAATTATAAAAGATGCCTTAATTCATTTTGCTATTTTTTCACACAAAGTACATGTAAGCATCAAAGTAAAAAATGTAAATACTACCATGGAATTGTGGGTAGAGATCATAGTCTCCTCCAATCATTCCGGGACTAAATGGGGCCAGAGGGGGTATCCTCTGTGAATAGGGGTCAGAGGGTATGAAAGGGGGGACAACTGTTGTCATCTGACGCCACCACTTCCTCTGTTGTTTTCGGTTTCTATACTCTGACTTGTATAACTGAAAATGAAAAAAAAAATGCAATTAACATACCAGGGTAATTTTTTAAAAAATTACCGGTAATCCTGCAAATTTTCTGTATTCCCTTGAGTGAATAAATAGCAAAATTATTTCACATGACTGACTCTGCCAATCAGATTCTATTTTACTAGTGATTATATTTAAATGAGGTATAATAATTTACATTTACATACAAAGAGAGCTTACATGACAACTAGGTAAAGTTTACACAACATAACATGTATCTTTAACAATTTTTACAAAAATTAAACAAAATCAGTTTCATTAATTTTGTTCTTTCAATTAATCTGAAATGATATCAATCTTGTTACCTGTTTCCAGTTTTGGTTTAGGCCATTATTTGCCCGATCTGTTAAAAAAAAATCAAATTCTATCTATTTTCATGGTTGATTGCAAGAATATTACTGGAAATTTCAAACAAAATTATTTTTAAATTTACAAGAATACACTTGAATCTATAGATTTAATCATCCCAATAGATAATCCTGAAAGAATCATTAAGCTTCAGTTTGATTTTACTGAACTTTCTTACATTCTTTATTCTTGATCTATAAATAACCGTACTTACTCCCAAAATGAGACAAGAACAGTCTCCTCCAGATATATTTATCATTACTGAGGCTGCGGAATTCCTTACAGACTTCAGACATTCTCAGCAGACTGACTACATCCAAACATCCAAGGATCTTCAGCTAGACAACAAGGATATACATAAAAATTATACAGTGCTGTTGAAACCTACATTTATTTACCAACAAGTTCACTATTATTTTGGTTTTTAATTCTATACTGCTCAGTTTCATTTTATTTTCCACATCAGAAGAAAGTTTTTTAAAAAGATTTTTAAATATACAAAAGTGTAATTTTATTTTTTTTAAAAATTACCATATTTCCACTAAATATATTTTGTTTATGAGGCATTTTATTCCTACCTTCAGTTCATTACTCAAGGCTAAAAGTCCATATAAAGGCACTAAGTTCATAGCTGAAAATATAAAAAAAAAATAACTATATGACATCTATACAACAAATCGAAGATGTATGTCTTTCAACCAAGAAAAAAAAGGGAAAGAAGCTCACAAATAAAAATAATGCAAATATATGAACCTCTTCATGTTTTTTCATACCTTCCCTGCATTTCTGTAGAAGGGGTAAGGATATAGCATCCTTAAATGTCCTGGACAGCTTTGGTAGATTCTGGTAACAGGTGTTCGGCTCTGTGAAACAAACCACAATATATAAATGGTGCCCGTTTTGGAGGGTAACAGTTGAAATTGACACCCCAAGGAAAACCATTGTCAACCGACGCGTCAGCAGAGGTTGACAATGGTTTTTTCCGAGGGGTGGCAATTTCAACTGTTACCCTCCAAAACAGGCACCATTTATTTTGTTCTACTGAATGTCTTCTTAAATTACATGTAAGTCAGCAAAAAAAATCGTCGATCAACTAAATACGTTCACGTTTAGAAAGCTTTCAAACTCCTCGCTACTTCTAAAAAGATTTACTGACCTTTTTATTGTTTGTCTGATACTCTAAGAGTCTATTATCATATAAAGTTTCGTTATTTCTGCACTCGCAAGCATGTTTCGTCTGTCGTTTGTTGTTTTCAAGTAAGCTACATCGGACTCAAGCTTTCGTTGACGTCAAGTTTATTCCAGTTCTTTCAAACGCGCAACTGACATTTTGAGAATTCTACGGTGAACCGTACGCGCATAATATCCACGCATGTGGCATTACCGTTGTGTTACCCATTGTCACATGCGTTGCTAAGGCTGAGGGTAATAGAACGGATTGTTAACTGCGTCTAAACCAATTAGATTTTAGTATTTAACATGAAAGTATAATAATACAAAATATTTAAACTTTATCTGTAAAACCCCAATCACTTTTATGATGTACAGCTTCTTTGGAAAATATAGATACTAAGTTTTACAATGATCAATTTTAATTTAAGGGGAAAAAAAATATTTATAAATTTAATTTTTCTGGATATTATACAGTGTATTATAATTCCTCCCCCCTAAAATTAACAGTTATCATAATTATGTAAAGCTTGATATTATTTATGACTGCACGACAATATGTTAATTCTTAAAAGGTCCTGGCAATAGTAATGAAGCTTTTTTAATGCAAGTAAACATAGCTGTATATATATGCATGATTGTCTGTGAAATTACGGTTGAATAGTGTACATGTTTTTATTTAAAACTTTCCTTCTTAATACACAATTTAGTAAAATAAAACATTACTTTGCTTACTGTAATTTCAAACCTGTATTTTTATAATAAATCATTATTCTATAATTATTAGTTTTTTAAAGTTTTTTACCTGGAGTTATATTTTGTATAAAATCCTTGGTTTTGAGTTGACACTGACATTTTTCTATATTTTCTTCTATCTTCACTTGACCTGCAACATGAAAATGAAACATTAAAGACAGAAAGGTAAATAGAAGTCTTGATGTTCAAAAATTTTTAAAATTATTTTTTAGAAAGCTTGAAAATATGTTCCTGTAAAATTTCAATTCTGTAGAAGTAAATCATTGCAGAGTCCATCCATATAAAATTAAAATGGCCCTCGTATATACACGTACAATGCAGTGTGTAACCTCAATTCCACTCCTTTTGAAAGTAAAAGAGGATCGAGGTAAATTGCTCATCACTCTTACCATGAACAATAAGGGAGGTCCCCATGGGTACAGCAGTAACTGTATAGACTGTGGAACCACTTGTCGGGTGAGTGTACTCTAGTTTGTAGAAGGCCGGTGCTCTTTCTCTCCACAAATCACTGGGACACACATCTGACTCAGATAGTGTCTGAGGATCACAGCTAGTCATCTCTGATTCCATCTGTGTAGGGTTACTACTCTCTAGTTTCTGTATTTTTTTTTTCAAAAGAAAAGAAATAAATGAAATTCTGATAATCATTTAAAGATTGATTTATACCACTGTAAGGTAATGTAGTATGATCAGATGATTGCATGCAGTAACTTTCATGTCTCATACCATGACCTTAGTTTTTAGCATCTTTTAAACCCCCCCCCCCCTTCTTGATGTTGTGCACTTGGTAATGGAACAGTAACTTTTCAATGAATAATTTCTGGGGTTTGACCAGGTGCAAGGAACCAGAATTAAAATGTACCTTGACCTCTTAATCTTATAATGAAACAAGCCTCCAACCAATAGCTAGCCAATCTTCTATACAAGAGGCCCATGGGCCTTATAGGTCACCTGAGCATTATGCAACAACTTTCAAGTGATTGAATTTGATTCATGTTTTAAGCCAGATGCTATGGCATTCACATTTTGAAAGAGGCACCATTGATCATCATAACAATACACTTAGCAGTTGCTTAGTTTGTTTACTTAATACCCATATGCAAGGTAAGGGAACAAAAAATGCATTTCAACTAATCAGTAATATTCAGCAATAATCAGTAGTGCCCCTACCACACATGAACCCCTGACCCTTAGGCCTTGATATTTGATTAATACCAAGGAGCAGATTTCAAACCATTCATTCATTTTCAGTATATAAGTACAGCCCCCCCCCCCCTTCTATGGTACCCCTGACCCTGGGGCCTTGAAATTCACAATCCTGGAAGATATGGGCCCTTGTCCAGCATAACTGTATAGGTAGTTCATCTGCTTAATACCCTGGAGCAGAGAAGAAAATTTTCAAAGATTTAATGTATTTTCACTATATAATCAATAGAGCCCCACCAGAACCCCTGACCCTAGGGCCATAAAATTCACAATTTTGGTAGAGGCACTCTTGCTCATTATAACTATGCACTTAGTTAGTTTATTTAATACCCAGGAGCAGAAAAGAAGATTCTCAAAGAATTCATGTATTTTCACTATATAATCAATAGAGCCCCGCCCTAACACCAGAACCCCTGACCCTGGGGCCAAACAAATTCACAATTTTGGTAGATGCACTCTTGCTCATCATAACTATGCACTTAGTTAGTTTATTTAATACCCAGGAGCAGAGAAGAAGATTTTCAGAGAATTCATGTATTTCACTATATAATCAATAGAGCCCCGCCCTAACACTAGAACCCCTGACCCTGGGGCCATAAAATTCACAATTTTGGTAGAGGCACTCTTGCTCATCATAACTATGTACTTAGTTGGTTTATCTAATACCCAGGTGCAGAGAAGAAGATTTTCAAAGAATTCATGTATTTTCACTATATAATCAATAGAGCCCCGCCCTAACACCAGAACCCCTGACCCTGGGGCCATAAGATTCACAATTTTGGTAGAGGCACTCTTGCTCATCATAACTATGCACTTAGTTAGTTTATTTAATACCCAGGAGCAGAGAAGAAGACTTTCAAAGAATACATGTATTTTTTCACTATATAATCAATAGAGCCCCGCCCTAACACCAGAACCCCTGATCCTGGGGTCATAAAATTCATAATTTTGGTAGTGGCACTCTTGCTCATCATAACTTTGTGCTTAGTTGGTTTATTTAATACCCAGGAGCAGAGAAGAAGATTTTCAAAGAAATAATGCATTTCACTACCTACTTATTTAGCCCCGCTCTAGCACTAGAACCCCTGACACCAGGGCCATGAATTTCACAATTTTGGTAGAGGACTCATTGCTGATTACAATCATGCAAACAGTTTGACTGTTTGATGTCCAGGAGTAAAAAAGAAGATCTTTAAAGATTGCATTAATTTTAGTGGTTTTGGCCCCACCCCTCAGACCCCAGGGGGGCAGGGATCATGAAATTCACAATTTTTGTTCCCCTTCACCCATAGATGCTTTAGGCCAAATTTGGTTGAAATTGGTTCAGTGGTTGCAGAGAAGAAGCTGAAAATGTTCAAATGTTAACGCACAACGCACGACGACGGACGAAAACAGATAGCAATAGGTCACCTGAGTTTACTCAGGTGACCTAATAAATGTGTAAAACAAACATACTTTATAAATCAAATTTAAATGAAATGCTTACAGTTGAGACAGACTGGTATCCAGCCTCCAGCATTAACACATGAAGCACCAAACAAAGGGCTTCTTCACAATACTGACAGTGTAAGTCTGAGTACAGCTCACTCAACAAGGGAGGCACACTGCCTTGTAGGCATTCACTGCACAGTCTTGGCTCACTGAGACATTTACTAACAACAACTGGGTCCATAGGATAAGCAGCCTCACTTTGGAAACTCTCAGCCTCCATTTGAGAATCATCTGTTGAACAAGATGGCTGATTTGGGTCAATTTGATTATGTACAACCCCTTGACTGGATGTAGAATGTGGATCATTTCTGTGGGAGCTTGAAGAGGTCTGTGTGTCTGTTAGGCCTAAAGGTCTGTTGGTTGACCTCTGGTTTGAAGGTTGCTTCTGTTCTGTAACGTACAATGTGAAAGACCTCATCCATTTATTATTTTAATTTTTGAGTACAAAATAAATATTCAAATATCATGATAGAAAAAAGCAATCATTTGATCAAGGACAAAAATCCTTCAAAGCACTAATATTTGACTAACTAGTATTTGACTAACTAGAAAATGAATTAATGTAACAGTTGTAACATTTTGAATGTCATGGATATGTCAAAGTGATTTGGAAGTTCCAACCACTTATACTTTAAGTATTTGTAATACCCTTAACATCTAAAAATCATTAATTAGTCATTGTTAGTCTAATAGACCTTGAAGTATTTTTCTTGGGCCGAAGTTGGTTTCCATGAGCTACATGTATGAGATAACACTTTTGACTGTATTTTTTAAAAATTATCTTACAGGTACATGTATTAGCACTCTCATCATGTCACATGATCAGAATACAAGTACTAACATATCTCATGTATATCAGTGGAAGTAAATAATTCATTCCTATTCTAAAGACAATACTTAGCCTGACCTTGAACTTCCTCAGGGTCATCACTGACAATATGGAGGATATCCCCTGATACTAGTCCCAGACCTGCCAGAGTTTGGTTCCCTGCTCCAAGTCTATCCTTCTTATTCAAACTCAAGTAAAAGGAACTGCAATAGAAAATTATACAATGAATTAATTAATATTTATAATAATGTCTTTCAAAATAAAAAAAAAATATTCATAAAAATGTGTGTTTCAAGATAATGTTATGGGTCCTCATTCTTAAAGGCAGAGATTTTTAGCACTGCCTTCAAAACTACCTGGTCTGGGTAACCCTGTCAATCAAGTGTATGAAGGTTCATCAGTGGATGCTGGAACTTGATTGACATTTACTTATTGGTCCCAGTGTATAACCTGTACACCTTGTAAGGAACTCGTTGGGACCTTCAAATTAACTTTTGATCCCTTGATGTTTACCAAACATGGTATAGAGAAACTGCATTACAATGAAAAATTTTTGCTTTGATGATATATGAAGTAAAGATACCTTTAGCATTTAAAAGGATTATAATATAATATACATTTTTCAAAAAATATAAAAAAATTTCCAATGAAATTTTGATTTTAATTTTAATATGCTCAACAGTAATGCTAAAGTGGAAATGTTATTGATTAAGTTTAGAGCAGCACTGTGTGAAGTAATTAAATTTGGAAAATATTCATAAATGTTTCTAATTATGGGTTGTTTATATTTTCCTTTGTTATTCAGATTTCATTCAATAGAATCTAATTTAAAAGTAATTTTATTGTGACAAAGCCTCAAGATTACGATAACATGGATAAACCTAAAAAAGATTTTTAATGATTATGAAATGTATTTAACTCAACTTTCTTTTTCAATGGTTCGGACCCTTCCCTAGGGATAAATGAATTAATTCTAATTTGGTTGTTACTGGCGTTTTTTTTTTGGTTAACACATACACTAGTACTAACATCTAAAATAATCTTTGTTTTAATATTTGAATTTATATTATGATACCACAATATTTTTTTCTAATGGGTAGGAGTGTTTTCAAATAATCAAAAATAAATCAATATATTATTAGATTATTTAGACTTTCCTTACAACTTTTCACTTCTAATTTAGAATTGTCTCAAAATCCCCAACACAGGTAAAGTTTGACACCTGGGGTATTTCATTGTTTATTAAATCACTTCCTGTGTATAGGGATTTGGAGACGGATGACCACAGGTAGACTGCTAGCCCCCAAAGAATTTACACCTGTACAAAATAAGCCCCTCCCTCACCTGGAATTTACCACCTGGTAAAAAATCTCTGCCTTTAAATATTTGTATGCTGAAAAATATACACTGTACATTTATTTCTGCGGTGTGCTAACAGTCAGTCTGTGTACAATACGAAGAATCAAAAGTAACATGTACTATATACTGTGTATTATCATTACATGTACACCGTGACTATAGGCCTATACCCGATATGCTAAGCAGCTAAGATCAGAAGATTGGTGTAGGCCTTTGGCCTTTTATTTACCTCTTAACTAAGTCACAAAATATTTCTGATACGGCAGATTCTAGGCTGCATAGTGTCGAATTGAACTCTTCTTTTTCCTCCACTGATACATTTCTGCTTACATCTTTGTATTTTACTTTAAATTTCATTCTGAATCCGATTTTGCCACTTCGAATCTGTCTGTTTATCCATGATAGTATTTCCTCCTCTTTAAACTGAAGAGTTCGTTATATGAGAGTTATTCCGCTTTCGTTGTCAATCTCATGTAAAATTCTGCAACAGCTGTGAAATTATTTTCCGTCTACTAACAACCAAAGAAAGCATTTCATTGTTTAAATAAAAACCTGCATAAATTTAAAAGTTTAAAAAGTAAACATTACATGTTATTAAAATGATGAACAATGGTGCCATGAGTTAGACGGCAAAATTCACCAGCAGCTGTTTTTTTTTGAAATAATATAAATAAATTCTTTATACGAGGGACATAAAAACTGTAACTCATTCTTTAGTCACTGCTACATTGTTAGGAAAAGAAAAGACTTCCGGGTATCTAGATGTGACCTTTTTGAACTTAGACATGTGCATTATCAGGAATTTAAAACTACGTGTACTGTAAACAAAAATAAATGTACCCGCCAACTGTCACAAAAATGCACTTGTCAATTTGTTTAATGATAAAGTAATGACCAATTTAGTAGCACCAGGATCGAAAGAGTTCGAAATGTTGTATTTGTGAAATTTGAACAACAAAGTTAAAATGATAAAAGTAATACTTCAAGGCATCACACAGCTGTTTGATAGATATTTGTAGACTGTGAATTTAAGAAAAAAAAAGTTCGTAAAACAAATTAATTATAAATAAACAAACGAATAAATAATAAAAGGACTAGCCGGATTATATTAGTTTAATTAAGTAGGCTAGAGGGTCAACAAATAAACTATTACGATATAACTTTTTTTTTTTAGATATGACATCTTGTAAGCTCAGTGTTAACAATCATTTGGCAAAGAAAAAAAATCATACGTTTTATTTTTAGAATTTGATCATTTTTGTTAAATAAAGAGCTCTTCTTCAATGCCTTACGTGTTATTGTAAAAGAAGGTATGGTTTGGTTTTTTGTGCCCTATAAAATTTTAATGCTCTTAAAAAGTTACGAATGTGGCTTATTTAAATAGTAGATACTGGGCACTGAGGGCCATTGAGCAGGGAGGGATCACTGGGCACCGAGGACCATTGAGCAGGGAGGGATCACTGGGCACTGAGGGCCATTGAGCAGGGAGGGATCACTGGGCACTGATGGCCATTGAGCAGGGAGGGATCACTGGGCACTGATGGCCATTGAGCAGGGAGGGATCACTGGGCACTGAAGGCCATTGAGCAGGGAGGGATCTTTTTCGTACCAACACCAACTATAGAGACTGCGGTTTATGCATGTACGGTCTCATCCGAAGGCCCAATCTCCACGTCCCACAATGGGATTCAAACCCACGATCAACTCCTTACTTCGCGACGCTGTCTTGAGCAAACACTCAAACCACTGCACCGCACGGTCGACCGGAAACCTTGAATTTAAATTCCTAACATCACTTCCATATTTTAGAAAAATAAAGGGCGAGATGAGTATGTACAATCCGTACTTTGTTCTTTGCCAGTTACATATATATACTACCTGCAGTAATGAGTATATGCAGATTTTTTTTTAATCTGTCAGTTCTATTTCTGTTCATTTAAAAAAACATCATTTGTAAGTAGATGTAAGTATGGAGATAGTGATTCAATTTCCAAATTCATTTCAGATATATCTGCCCCCCACCCCCCGGCAACCTAAAAAGGAGAAAAACATATCGTTTCAAAATCAATTTATTTTACCTGATTTACAAGGTTCATGGAGTTTTATAGTTTAGATCTATAAATGTAATTGGGTCATGCACTTTTTCCAAGTGTCAAGTCATCGAAAATAAAAATGACAAGATTTAATATTACTTCTTTGCACTCTTTTTCATGTTAATTGCGTCATATTACGAGACATTAACATTTATCTCTTCTCGGAGTATTCTCCTGTTATTCTTTAAATGAATGAAAATCGTCAATTAATGAACTTTGATTGCGAGTTTAATTGACAATTTCTATTGTGAGAATTGTTTTTTCCTCCGACTTTAGAATTTACGGTGTGACTTGCTAGATTCATTAACGCTGATAAAAGAGTGTCGTTCAAACAGAATGCATTTTCCGCTTTTGTTCGGCTGAGCACGTGCACTCGATTCTTGTTATTTTTGCATTTTATTTCCATCTGTCGAACGATGTCTCATAACTTCTTGTCATTTCACCAATTAGACCAAGTTTGCGAATTGAGTTAATGAAGGAACCTAGAATGCTTTTCCGTTCGAATTCATTTCCCTCTTATCACAAAATAAATCTGGGATGTGCATTACCTCAGTAGAACATCGAACTTAACAATCAGAGCGTCCTTAATACATACAATGTACGTGTTACATGAGCATTAAAATGAGGAAATCTTTTATTACTATAAATAAATGAACGCTGATTCAGTGCGTTGCTAACGAAGAGCATGTTCATTAAGTTTTTTTAATGAAAAATAATAAAATCCATTCTTTTCTTGGAATTTTCATCATGTGTTCCTAAAGTATACCGGTAGCTTTATACATGATAGAAGCTACCAATTTTAGAGGGTAAATGAGCTGTATCTTTATAATTGTTGTCACTTTTGCTACTGTGTCTTTAATTGATTGTTGTTATGTTTGCTACTGTGTCTTTAATTGTTGTTATGTTTGCTACTGTGTCTTTAATTGTTGTTATGTTTGCTACTGTGTCTTTAATTGTTGTTATGTTTGCTACTGTGTCTTTAATTGTTGTTATGTTTGCTACTGTGTCTTTAATTGATGTTATGTTTGCTACTGTGTCTTTAATTGTTGTTATGTTTGCTACTGTGTCTTTAATTGTTGTTATGTTTGCTACTGTGTCTTTAATTGTTGTTACGTTTGCTACTGTGTCTTTAATTGTTGTTACGTCTGCTCCTGTGTCTTTAATTGTTGTTATGTTTGCTCCTGTGTCTTTAATTGTTGTTATGTTTGCTACTGTGTCTTTAATTGTTGTTATGTTTGCTACTGTGTCTTTAATTGTTGTTACGTTTGCTCCTGTGTCTTTAAGTGTTGTTACATTTGCTACTATTTCTTTAGCTGTTGTTACGTTTGCTACTATTTATTTAGCTGTTGTTACATTTGCTACTACTTCTTTAGCTGTTGTTACGTTTGCTACTATTTCTTTAGCTGTTGTTACGTTTGCTACTATTTCTTTAGCTGTTGTTATGTTTGCTACTGTGTCTTTAACTGTTGTTATGTTTGCTTCTGTGTCTTTAATTGTTGTTACGTTTGCTCCTGTGTCTTTAAGTGTTGTTACATTTGCTACTATTTCTTTAGCTGTTGTTACGTTTGCTACTATTTATTTAGCTGTTGTTACATTTGCTACTATTTCTTTAGCTGTTGTTACGTTTGCTACTATTTCTTTAGCTGTTGTTACGTTTGCTACTATTTCTTTAGCTGTTGTTACATTTGCTACTATGTCTTTAACTGTTGTAACTTTTCCTAGTGTGCCTTCAACTGATGTTAACGTTCGCAGTACCATGTCTTTAACTGTTGTCACTTTTGCTACACTGCCGTGTCTTTAACCGTTTTTACTTTTGCTAATGTGTTTCTAATTGTTGTAACTTTTGCTATTTTGTCTTAAACTGTTGTTACATGTATACTTATGCGTCAAAACTCTGTGTTTTTAACCGTTGTTAAGTTACTTTTGCTACTAGTACCGTGTCTTTAATTTTTGCAATTTTGTTGTCTTGTTACAGTGACTGTGCTTTTAACTGTTATTAAATTTTCTACTGTTGCTTCAACTATTGCTTCTTTAGTATTTTTCCTGCAACTTTTGTTAGTGTTTCTATTGTTGCTGTCAATGATGCTTCAACATGATTGCTATTAGTGCCGCAACTTTTGTCACCATTTTGGTTTAAATTATTGTCACTGTTGCGATTATAGTGTTGCTATTGTTGCTCTCATTGTTTTGACTACAGTTGTTGAAAATGTTGCGAATTGGTTCTTCTCACGATGCAACCCTGCTGTTTAACTACAGGTCTCACTAACATCGGGCTTTAAAGGATCATTTTATCCTAAATAAATATCTACTTAGTCAAAACTATGATGTCCTACTCATGAAATGAAATATAATTTCGAAATTGAAGTGAACACAGAATTGCAAAAATGTCAAGCAATAGACGCTTAGAACCAATTGACTTGTGTTCGCTTTAAATTTCCAAAGCTCATCAATCATTTTCTGTTCATGTATTGATCAGCATGTCCGACCTTGTCTTTTGCTTTTTAAAAAAAAATTAAAATAGACTTAAATAATAGGAGTTGTCACTACCGGCAGTTTTTATGACATACACAAATTATGACACAACAATATTGCAAAATGGCGGTCAAATGAACACCCTAGTTCTGTTTTAGATTAATTGTGCGAAAGACTCAATGCACGCGATTGAATGAATTGACTATATCGCTAAATCATGATTCAGTTGATATCAATATCTGTTTGATTTTGTTTTCTAGATTTATCTACATCAACATCTCTTCTAGCGGGCGGCATTTTCCGTCAAATCTTTTGACTTTTCCGCTCATTTGTTAAGCTTCTGTTAAACAGCTCGTATAAAACCCTCATTGTGGAGTGTAATGTTTTATTGTTGTTCCTAATCCCTTACTTATTGGTTAGGCTTAGACACTGTATGTTTATGAGGTTAATTCAACGCCTCTTTGAATGCCGTCTAGGCGTGGTGACAGGAAGTCAAAAAGCAGTGGTTCTCGGAGAGCGCGGTCCGACATTGCTCGTATATGGCAGTCCCTTGCACGTATTCCTGAGAATTGTCTAAGACCTCGTAAATTAGGACCACGTTGAAAGAATGACAAGGTATAATAGTTGAAAAAAATATTGAAAATAAAAATGTCTGCGATAAATGATATGGTATTGTACGTCAATCCAGACTCTACAAATATAGTTAGACACCTTGGCCTTGTGTGCTAATGACCTCATTGCGGAGATTGAAAGCCTGGGTACTAATTTAACCATTCCCAAAGGAGTTCTCTCCCCGTGCGATAATCGTGAGTTAATTATTGACATTG